AATAGTAATTGTTGTAAATTTATAATCTCAATGTCCAAAAATTTTATTATTCAAATTATATGTTTAGTAAGCGACTAGAACTTTTGTTCGTGAGTTGGTAACTGTGTTTTAAAATTAAAATATTATTAATGCAAAATTTATTTTACTAGTTCAATGTTGCACGTGATTTTCAATAAACACATTTATCATCACTAATATAAATAGATTAAAAAATTATTGTTACTTTTTTTTAACTTTTGATTGTTAAAAAAAATATATCATAAACTATGAAAAAATAGTATTAAATAAATGCATAAAATACTTGATTTGCTGTATTTAATTTTCATGTTATATGTTTACAAATGAACACGCACAATATAAAATATGTCCCATCAGGTTCTGACATCTTTAATAACTTTTCATCTAGCAAATATTTTGAGTTATTTTTTTTTATAATTCTTACAGCTTTGGGAGCTACATAAGGAGCGTATTTTTGGCTCTAATAAAAATAAACAAATTTAATTATATATTTTAATTTATTTGATATTTCACATTAGCCGGTTTTTAAAAATTTATTTTTTACAAAAAATTTAAAGCAACTTTAGGATAAGAACTTATTACGTTAAAAGCTTTCTGTAACATAGAATGACTATGTAACGCGGATGGTCACACTGTAACTTAAACAGGTTTGGGCTATTAAAAGCATATTTTGAATTATTTGTCTGTAATAAGAAAACACGCGATTAGGTACAGCTCGTACTGTTGAACTGCGTCTGCGTTACAAACCCAACCTAACCAATCAGGTGATCTGTTTCAAAACCCAACCTGCAGTTTACATAGACAATGGTCACAAATGGCATGGGAAACGCTGAAATACGCGCTAAACTCGTATCTGGCAGGCTGATGTTGTCAAAAGAGTCGCAGAGTGTTAAACGCGTCCAGATAAATGTTTTCTACCGTGGGAATAACCTTTTAACGTGCCAAGTTTACATAGACAAATACATCCAAAATGATCAGCCACCATGAGAAACATATGCTGTTCGACATGAGGGCAGGGTCGCGTGCCGAAATCCTTTGGCTTGGAGTGGCGCGCACGAGCCCCTGTCTGCAGAGGTAACAGCACAGGCACCCGCATAGCTGCACCCGACGCAATGAGTCTTCTGGTTTGGCAGTGTCCGCGGTAACGCATTAATTTCCCATAAACCCCCCGACTTTTTCAACCAACCGCCCTCTCTTCGGCTTGGCTACTCTTTCGTGACCAACATTTTGTTATCGTCTATAACATCTAGTGATTAACTGGAAAAAATAAAAATCCACAAGTTATGGAAATAATTAACTGCGCATGATTCGATGTTTCGAAGCATATTACAATGATATTAATGATAGAATGGTGAAGTGTAACTTGAAAAGATAAATGAATTTTACAAAATTATGAAATTAAATTAATAACTCTATACAATTTCATTTAAAAAGTATTTGTTTACAAAACTATCGGAAACTATTACTCTTAGAATAACGAAACGCGAACATTTTTATTTATTCGCGCGAGTGTAAAAATCAGAAAAATGAAATTTTTTTGATCGTTACTTCTACTCTTATCGATAGACATGTGTGTGAACCAGAATTAGATAATAGCGTGACAAAAATAACTTGTTTCGAATTCAGATTTTAATTTTTTTTAACCGTGTGCTATAATATTTAAAGATTAGAATTCGAAAGAAAAAAGAGATTGTTGACATAATCACAGAACATCTCAATTATTAATTGAGTGTGTTCAGTGTTCTATTTTAGCCGATTCGACAAAATCATTTATAAATATCGATAAAATTGAAATGAATTTTTAACTAAAAACATTTACTCTTGGGCACTGCACAGATAATATAAATGATTCGCGTTAGTCTCGTATATTTTACCTATTAAGTTTTATTTCTGCAGTGTTAACAATTGAACAGTTTTCTTACAACAGACAATAGAAAGGCCTTTCGAAAACCGTTGACGTAATCAGATAGAGACGTGTCCGGAAGTACATTGTGGTAAACCACGGCATTTATTCTAAAAAAGCGATAGACATAGTTTTTTACTACGAAATTTGCCATTTTTCCCAGAAAACACTTTTCTACACAGTAATTACTATTATGCCGTTTCTCCGGCACAAGGGGTGCGAACACCCAAAGTCTGAGAGGACTTTACCGTATCGCGGTGGGCAGAGAGCGGGTGATTAACCTCTGAAATGCGGGACGATTATTGTACACATAAGCGCCCTTATTATTACCATTACTGTTATTTTTTATTCTTTTGCACTATAAGTCATTATTGTTACATCGATCTGATGCGATAAACTGTTCGATGCTTCCCATGTTGATGTGACATTGTGTTGTAACACAAGTAGACGTCATGTAAGAGTGTCCGAGCGTTATTAATACGACCCTGCCGTCTGTGTGTATTATACGCGACAATAAAAAAAGCATAATAACCACTACTACAGCGGGTAATTTAACACGCAAAAGTCACGTCCCTTTGGTACGCCCCTCTCCCCCAGGGGCCAAGGAAATCGTCGCCTCCGAACACCTTTGGTATTCGAATATTCGGCAAAACTAAGTTATCAGCTAACGCCATCGTTGCAACATTCGTGTGTACTAAAAAACTTCCGGTTGTATTCTAAGAAGCGATAAACGCACAATACGTTACTCATATCGTGATTGTTTCACACACTGTTTTCTCAACGGCATCTGGGGAAATAAAAGTGCACATTGTTTGTTCTATTGTCATTACAAAATACATGTTAATATCTAAAAATGTTTGTAATGACTCGATGAAGAGGAAATAATTGTCCCCTCTCTTGTCCGAGTGTCTCGTTTGAGGTTACCTCACATATAAGCCAAAAATGTTTTAACAGTTTGGTGTTTTAGAGAAAGCCTATTACGTTTTGCTACAGTTTTAAGTTCAATGGCTAGTCTTCGTGTATTTAACATGCATGTCAATTGAAACAAATCACCTGGCAGTGTAAACCATACATTACATTTAACTGAAATTAAAAATCAACGAACCAAAGTTTGACAGTATATTGAAAAATATCTCTATTTCAATGGTACTACATCGATTATTTATTGCAATGCATAATATTTAGAAACTAAAGGTTACAACATTAATTCGTATGTAAAAATCAAAACCAATAAATTTGTTAAAAGTTCGATGTTTTTTTTTAATAAAATAATCAAAATGTGGTTACTAATATCAGTGCCGTGATTTGGACCACGATATTGTTTAATTTATTTGGGAAACAATCGATGTTGTTTTTAATGACTTTTAATTAATACTAACTTTGTTTTATGATGCTTAGGAGCAAAGACCAAAAATAGTCTCAGATTAATTCGCTTATTTTTTTTAAGTTGGAAATCGTCAAATAAATTCTACTTTAAATGGTGCAAAAATAATTATTAATAACTATGAAAACAAAACTAAGGTGACTTCACTACACCCAAAGAAAAACCTCAATCAATTTTGATAGAGAAATTTTATCAAGGGTTTATGATAATGTTTTATTAATACGAACAAAATAACTATTCTTATATATAATTATTGTTCAAGACAAGAAAAAAAATTATCATATTGATAAATATATCATAGATTCAATAGTAATGATATATTTATCAAATTGAACAATGAATTTATTATATAGATCGAGGTTTTTCTCTGGGTGTAGTGGATAAACAGTTAAGATTTTTTCATGTTTCAAAGTTCTTTAATAATTTATATTTTTATTTTAAACTTATTAAGTTAATAAATATTTATTTCCTGGAAAAATCTCTCTAGTAATAGTGTAAAAATATTTAAAATGAACACAACAATTTTTATTTATTGTTTTATATTGAAAATTGACATTTTCCAGTAAAAGAACAGCTAATGATATTATACTAAAAATTATTTTATCCAGGTAGGATTAAATTTTGATATTGTCTTTGTTATAAAAACTACCAACTCCAACTTATTATATTCAAATTAGATATTTTTTTAGTTAAAAACTCAGCGACATTCGTCGTTTACTGGTAGTTTACACTTACTGGCATTTTAACTCTATATTGCTTATAAAAAGTATTTATTAGAAATATTATACGTTGAATCTTAATTATTTAGGCGTTTTTGTAACGCTTTACTCAAATCAAAACTCATAACCAAGAAGAAAATGTTTAATTAAATAATAATTTGTTTACTATTAGTTATTACTTCAAATTTGAATATCGTACCATCAAGCTGTTATCATAACAACTCAAAAATGTCAATTTTAAGTTTTACACGTATTTCTCATATTCAATATTACGTACTAGACGTTTCACTATTTTATTTTCATGTAAATATAATATTTAATCAGTAAAATCATAAAATACATAACAGATATTATTTAAAAAGTTTATCATCAAACTTTATTACATCTAAACTTTTCTAGTCAATTAACATCTTGATGAACGAAAAAATCGCGAAGTTATTTTTATGCAAAGTCTTTAATTGTAAACTGATAGACTAGTGAGTGTACTTTACAATGAAACCACTACTCATTTTGTCTCAACAGGTGTAAATAAAAAAATAGTTCTTACAAAAAAAAAAATTGATTTTCGGAAATTTATAACATTTTAAAATATTTATTAATTAATCTAACATATCTTATTTTTCACTAGCTACGGTGATTTAGAAGAATTTTTTTGTTGACATAATTTAGTAGAAACTGAAATTTCAGAAAAAAAAAAGTCGTAATGAAACGTGGGTAAATATACCAAGTCGAAAAAAATAAATAACACGAAAAAGTTTGCATAGTTGATAACCTGATGGTGCAAATATGATGTATTTACTCAATTTTTTAACATTTGCACATTAGCTTTATTAGTTTACTTGTACTTATTAAAATACACGATAAACGAGCGTGGAATGTATAAGTTAATGTTTCCGACCGTTTCCGAAGTGTGACGACAGATCGTGCTGGTACCAACGACGTGGGTAACGTTGTACACAGGGACACGAGACGAGATGCACCGGGACGTCAACCATTGGTCGGTAGCGCACCACTCCCACGAGACCCTATTGGTTACGTCCCACGTAAACACAATACACGGTAACTCGCACAGAACTAGAAAATTTCGAATGCAAAAACTTAGGTGGTTCGCTTTTGGTATATTATTTTTACTTGGAACTCCACGCGATCCGTACGCACTTCATTGCACCAGGGACACTCGGTTCTTATCGTTCGTACCGTACCAGAAAGGTTCATCGTCGTACAGTGTTGATCGGGCCGAAGGAGCGACGCGAATGCTTTAAGTTGTACGGTCAATTTAACCCGGGTGTCCGCTTTTTAAATTGCCCTTAAACGAAGTTTATTTAATATATATATTTGGTGCTCGTCCCAATTCAGCCCATCAATTGTAGACAATCAACAGAAATTAACGGTCGCTCAACCCCCTCCGTCGCTATTGCCGCCGACGCCACAGTTGTTGTTCAATTAAAAATTTTAAACTAAATTTAATAGCGAACTTAATCGATATCGGATTTCCGTGATTTGTTCTTCAGCCTACTACCCTCTTTGCTATGGACGAGGGTGCCTTTGACGAATCCATGATGTTCAATGAATATCATCAACATCACCAAAAATCCAGCTCACCACCAAGTCACCAACATGTCCAACCGCTGTTGAATTTCCAACAATCTGGTGATCTAATGGGATACACGACATCCGAACATATAACACAAGAAATGCACGGCCACCATCAGCACCATCAATTACAGGACATGGACTTGCACCGTCATCACCATTTGCAAGATCATCACGTCCACCAAGATAGACAGTTGCAAATGGGTGATCCACAAGATCTTTTTCAACTACCCGTAGCCACGTCTACGGTACCAGTTCAATCAACAGACGGAACTAATAGTAATGGACAGAAACATATTAAATTGGAAATGGATTCTAACTCTTTGCCTAACGTAGGCCAACAAACTTCAGGTAAGAATTATACGTTTTTAATTTAAGGAAAACCGTTTCATAGACCAAAGAGCATTTTTTATTAGATTTTATTTTAAATAGGTCTACAAACAGAACAACCGACGGCTCCAAAAAAGTCTAGTTCGAAATCGAAGAACACGGATAATAATGGTACTAAAAAGAAAAAAACTAGGTAAGATTTATACATAAAGAAGAGCTGATAAAATTAAATCGAATCATTAGTAACTGAGAATCAAAACAGTTAACGTTTGCTATTTTTAATTAGAACTACGTTTACATCTCATCAATTGGAAGAATTAGAGAGAGCTTTTGAGAGAGCTCCATATCCTGATGTATTCGCCAGAGAGGAGTTGGCTTTGAACCTGAAACTCAGCGAATCTCGCGTACAAGTTTGGTTTCAAAATCGACGAGCCAAGTGGCGAAAGAGAGAACCGCCCAGGAAAACTGTCTATTTGACAAATTCTGGTAAGAACAACAAACAGTTTTTAATTGTGGCATACATAATTTAAATTAACTATAAGGAAAGTTTAACTAATTATCAGTTAAAACCTACAACAAAATTGGTAAAAATGCGTTATCAGTCTACAGCTGTTTTGTACAAAACGACATTGCCCGTTAAAATTTTTGTTGATTTAAAAATAACCAACTTAGAAGCCCTAAAAATTAACTTTACAAGTTTCCACTCAATACTATGGTAATCACAGGGTGATTACGTTTAAAAAGTGTCTCTAAATTATTTACAATGAACTTATTAGCTGTTGGTTTTATCATATATTTTTTTCTATTTACACTCGTACAAATTATTGAAAGCTACAGCGACCTTTTTCTAACAAGGGATATCTTATCGAGTGATTAGTAGTCTCTCACTAGTTTTTTTATAATTTAGACTAACAATAAACTGTAAAATAATCTATTGTTGTTTTTTCTTTAGTTTTCCCTTCCGGATCGCCAGGTTCTTCGGTAAGCTCAACTTCTTTTACCACTCTAACAACTTTTGGCGGTAACGTATCTCCTTCGATGGGCACATGTTCACCAGTTACTTTAACCGGATCTGAACCATGGGGATATGGTTCCGGTTATGGTGACTTGACTCATTTAAATTTGCTTAACAACAATACTGTACCATTTGCACAAAACACTTTTCATAATGCCAACGGATTTGGTAGTGGATCGTACGTCCAACAGCCGCAAGATAGCCCGGGTTTGTTTTCGGCCGGTATGCAATGCTTAGCTCGGTCCGACTTGATGGGTTCGCTACAAGATCAATCACCGCCTGATCGTGATTACCATGGACACCACCAACTCAACAAACACGTGGTCGAGTCATACGTAATGAGTCAAGACATGGTGGGTCTTCTTCAGCAGGACGCCAACGAATGCGCCGATATTGTAGGTGCTATGGGATATGACGTTGAACAGCAACAACAACAGCAGCAGCAGCAGTCCAGGGTACAAGACGACCAAGAGTGTCGTGGGGAAGAAGAATCCGGCGTTGTCAAAGTAGAGCCCCCGTTTACACCTTTGCCGCCGTTTATCAACTGACACAGGCGGTTTCAGTTTGACACGTACGAGTATCAAACTGAATTCGACTGAAAAAACTCGTGTGTCCAGACGTCTTGTTTATTTGTAAAATTATGAACATAAGTATTGAACTATTGTTTTATTCATATTAGCCATAGTATTGGCTATCAAATATTTCAATTGGCAAAAAGGGTCATTAAAAGTCTGTATTTTAAGTAAAGTTATGATCATCTATAATTTAGAATTAAATAAATAGTTCATTAAGATACAAGTTAAAGTGGTTTTTGGTATATTTTATATTATTATTTGTACTATTTGTTGTAAATACATAGTTAATTTTTTTTTTTTTACTTAGACATTTTTTTTGTACTAATATTTGAAGTGCTTGAATACATTAAGTACTATTATAAATTATAATTCTAAAATAAAGTATCTTTTTAATGTTAATAATAATCTATAATATTTATAAAAAATGATAGAATTTCATGAACTTTATCAAAATGAAAAATAATATTTTTTTACATTTTTCATATACCAAATACTTCTGGTTTGTGTAGCAGATAAATAAGTCAAATGCTGACATTGAAAGTACGTTTTTATACATAATTTAATTAATAATTTTATTACTAATGAATAAAATATCATAGAAATAATTGTATTTTTAATGTGCAAATGTTATTTTATTTACAATAATTTGTTATATAAGTTATACTATTTACTAAATCAACAAAATTACAAAGCTCTTCCATATTTAGTATTAAATTTTTGTAATGTGTAATTTTTTTTAAGAATTATAAAACAAATAGGTTTTCTTGTGATGTAATTTATACACTTAGTTTGCGAAATCATTCAAATCGTGCCTTATTATAATATTACAGAGAAGACGAGTCGTTATTGAAACAATTTCTAACGCCAAGTCATTGTAATATTTTTATTTGTATATACGTTATTATTTTATAATTTATAAACATTTTAAAAACAAATTTAATAAATTTTTTATTTTTATGAATATATTTGATTTATTTGCTTTTAAACTTTCATTCTAGTCATAAGTGACTATAAATTTATAGCTAAAAATACATAGTATTATTATAGCTCGACGATTAACATTTATTACTGTTATTATTTTTAAAATCAGTTTGTATTGAGTTGTAATGATATTTGTTAACTGTCCATTATTAACTAATAACTGTATGCTTTTTCTAAAAGAGTACGCTCACGACGCTTCAATCCAATTAAAATTGTGATGGATTTCGGAAATATGATACGCAGTGGCGTATTAAAAGGGGGGTACAGGGGCACGATTTTTTTTGTAACTATTCTATAATATTAATACAATGTTAATTAGAATATTAATCATTAATGTATATACTAGGGACGTATTTAAGGGGGATATGGGCGATTGCCTCCCTTTTAGGCAACTTCAAAGAAATATGGATATAATAACCTCTCTTTTGATAATCACATTGATATTTAGCAAAAAAAATTCTTTAACGTGTTTACCAAAGTAAAAAACATTAAATACCTTAGAACAATTTCCGAATACGTCCAAGGGAAATACCTCAATAACAAATACCAACCTTATACCCAATACATTTTACTATATTATCTTTTCGAATGTTTCTGATTTTAATAATTAAATTTTTTATATATTTTTGTTACGCTGATTCTGATGTAATATTTCTCCTGCAAAACACTTATTGTGTCCGGCGTAGTCAGGTACTTCTATCGGAATCAGTGGTTTACTTATGAGGATGGCCCATAGAAAGGCTTACGCACCGAAGGCGTATAAGGCTCGCAGGACCCTAAGGTCTAGGGTGGAGCTAAACAAAGTTTAGTAATAATATAAAATTAACAAGTTGGAATATGGAATATTGTATTAATAAATTATTTATAATTTAATAAATGGCTGAATATTTTTAAAAGAACAAATCAATATTAAATATTATTTTTATTGAGTAACTACAACTTATAGGCGATAAATTGAAGAAGCTAGATGTTCTAAGGTTATCTATTCCACCCGATGAACGTTAGACAGTTACACTGAGATAAATTATTTATTAGTTTAAAATTAGGAAAAACATTTTTGCACATTTTAATTCAGAAAATTCAGAATACATTTATATAATTCAGTCCTTTTCTTGAGTATTATACATTGATTCATCTAATTATAATTTTACTTATAAGAGTTACCGCATGTCACATATTTATTCCTGACAAAATAATTTTGGTAATATAATTAATTAAAACGATTAAAATAAAGATTTTTTTTTATTATTCAATTTACCTAATAATGATGGTATTAAATAACAAAGCATATGTGTAAATAAATAAATATATATACTAATAACACTCTTAAATACGTGTTTGTAAAAATAAATAAAACATTTTTTTTGTTGTACAATACTTATGTACGTTTTATACATAATAAATATTAGTAACAAGAAAAATTAAAAGAATTTCTTGGATTAAAATTAAAACAATGTCCAATAATAATATTGTTGAAATAAATAATTAAAAAATTAATTATCATTGCAATAATGTGCTTGCACATGAGAATAATTATTTTTTAGATACTGTGGGTTGTTATGAGAAACTGGAGAAGAAGAAAATTGATTATTTGAACCGATTTTAGCTTTTTAGGATTTGGATAAATCTGCTAGGAGCGTAGGAGATACGCTTTGTAAATAAGATTGGTTTGAAATAAAGTAAATTGAAATATGTTGTTCAGAATAAGGACTTTGACTATAATCAAGTGAAACATAAGAAGATTCTGATATTAAAGATAAAAACTTCATATAAGAAGTTGGTTTTCTATTATAAGAACTAGAAGGAGAAATGCACGACTTAGGATTATTTAAGACTGATGACTAAAAAGAGCAAATTATTGATCGGAACAATAGAATATTGAACTTGAGAATTTATAGGATAAGGATTTGAAAATTTCTGAACAGAGTTGAAAAATCAAATAAATTTATTACTTATGCTGAGGTATACTTTGACTACATAGGCGGTTATCAGGAACGGATTGGCCCACTGTACTACAGCACAGCACGAAAATCGGACGACTAGCAAAGTGCTGAGAAGGTGCTGCGGCTGCGTTTTAACAATTTAATTATTCATTTTTAATTATTTTTGATCTGATTAATGATTGTTTAAAAAAATGTCATTTTCAAGGCTAATAAACTTAGCTATGCATCCCGAGTACTTCCAAGTCCGATCCTGGCGGTTATAATTTAATAAAATATAATACCTGTAAATAAAACATTTGAAACATGTCAACTTTTATTACACAGTGCTGGCTGTATAATTTTCAAGAAATATGCATCAATCCTTCAAACAAACGTTTCACTAAAAAATCTTCCTTTTTAAATTTCAATTGAAATTAAAATTCTTAATTTCATTGATTTTAATTTTATGTACGATGTACCTCAGCCTACCCTACACTTCAAAGTCTTATGTAGTTATATATGAGCCCTCCGTGTCGGTACTATTTTCAAAGTAAATATATAGAGGGTAATTAGAAACTTAATTAGATTCCAAAGTCTCCTCATTTAAGACAGCAATTATAAATGCTTTGGTATATAACATACTAAATATTTTTTTAATTTTCAAAAAATACTTAGAAGTACAAGGATACTTTAAAAAATAATATTTGACGCTCCATGAAAACTCTGTCAAAAACAAACAGCGTGAAATTAAAAACCAGTTGTTCTATTTTTCAGACGCTAAAAATCAAACATGAGCGTTTGATAGCGTCGGCTGTCACCGGAACTTTATTGCAGTGTGAAAACGCCTATAGAAATACATCAATTTAAACCAGCGTCAAAAATGCCTAGTGTGACAATGCCAATATCTCTTTATATTTAATGAAAATTTAAGAATATATAATTCCTAATTGATAGTTATAGAGCACTATCATTCTTTGTCATATTTTGAAGAGTTTCCAACAAAATTAATTTAGACATAAAATCTACGATTTTATTATACGTATACTTGATTTTTGTGAAATTTGTGATTTCTATGTGAAAATATTCATATAGATATATGAAATATTACATTTTTGTTCATATGATTCATAAAAAAACATATTTGATGATGTTAATCAAACAAAATAATTTAATTAATAAAATAATTGTATAGGAGACGTAAAAATAACTAAGCAAAATAAATTAGTTAATACAATTAGAAAATTAGAAAATTAAATAGAAACCCAAAATATGGTAATCAAATCAATTTCGAAAAACTAAAATAATATTATATGTTTTATAATATTAAATTAGGGTAATCGAACATACTTTTGTATGGATTTGTTCTCTTATATATATATATATATATATATATATGTATACTTTTCATCAAAGCATATTTCTATTGCAATAGTAAGCAAACGACATTTTTTTTATAAAAAAAATAATAGTATAAAGTCAAACAATATTTAAAATCTTTATTTTGTCAATTTAATACTGTATATTTTATTTTTAACAACAATTTACTTATAAATATAAAGCAGTTACTTTAAATCCTCTTGTTAAAAAAATTAGGTTTGTAGGGTTTAACACTTCCTAATTTTGTTTTGTCGTATTAATTAAATTTTATGTTCTTTTTGGGTAGGAAGACTTAGACCCCAAGCCCTCTCTTAAAAATAAGCGCATAATATTTATGATGAAAAAGAAGTCCTTATTTTTTTATTTCAAACATTTAGTTATAGTACGATGAATGATATTTAATAACAGTAAAATCTTTCTTCTATATTTTAATTTAACGCACATCTTTATAAATTACTGTTTATGATAGAGTTAACAACAGTATAGTTCATTTGGGAATGCATTTATCAAATCACTATTCGATTCCCTTCTTTTATAACTATACAATGTTTGATTTGTATATGTGATCAATGTGCATGAAACTTATTAAAGATACGGATTATCAAAGATATTAAAAGTTAATTAAGATTCAATAAAAAAATGAAAATATTATTCTGCTTAATATGGACAAATAAAACAAAATTTTAATTTCTTGACAATTATAGTCATAAAATATTTAATTATCAAAGATTACAAACACTTTGTAATCAACAAATTGGTACATATTAATCGTGTGTATTTTGGTATAAAAGTCTATGTTCTAAAACTAATTTTAAATGAAATTTATATAATTTTTTATTTCTTATAATATACATTAGGTAATAATCTTCATTAATTCACATTAAGACATATTCATTTAAATACTTAGCTTTTAGACCTCCAATCAATAAATTCATCAAAATCACTATCGTCAGATTCATTATCATCAATAGTTTCATTTTTTATTTCAATTTTCATCCTTTCATTAATTACTTGAGCCATTTGATCCCGTTTTTTTTCCAATTCAATAACTCTGAAATAATTTTAAAAGAAAAATAAATTATGAATTACAATGATATCTTTAACCACCTAAAGTATTCATATTTTATTAAAAATATGCTATCCAAAAACTACTTATAGGATATCAATTTTCAATAGATCTTATTAACAAAAAAACAAAACACATTTTTATCAGGGATGGCTCAAAATATTTTACAAAAATACATTGAATAAAAAAATAGATACATAGATCCTACGTTTTACATTTTTTTGATATCCTTTTTTAGTTAACAATATTATATTTTTTAGATGAAAACAGTTAAAAATTTTAAAACACTGTCTCTGAAAAATGGCAATTCCTGCCAATCACTCAACTTTCCTGTGCAAGTTGTGTAAATTATATGTATTTTAATAGAAAGATAAGTTTCAATTTTGTTTAATTATAGAATTGGCAATGCTGTTTTAACTAGAGTTAATTACATAAAAGATTTGGGTAAAATTTTTTAAGATAACTTATATTTTTCTCAGCACACTAATACATCAGCTTGTAGTACATTTAAGATTTATTCTACTTTATTAAGAGATTTACACTTATTTATGATTATATAAATGAATAAATAAATAATATAGATATTAACTATATAATTTTACTATATTTTATGTGTAGTTATTATCTCATTATTTTTATGTTTTATTACTTTATCTGCATGATTGTTACTTAACATTAAATAAATTTGAAAACATTTTGGAGAAAAAGAATTCAAAACCTATACTGTCGTGCTAAGCGAAAAAAGGATAACTCCAGTCAATATGATTTTTCAGAAACGCAAAAAAACAATTTAACAGTAAATCAAGATACCTTTTTTTCCCAATGTATGAACATAAGTCAAAAGACGATAACTCCATTATTTTTTATGTGATATACCAAGTTTTTGTTTAGTATTTGGATTTACCGTGTTTTAGCTTACAAAACATCAAATATATTGAACTTACCGTATATTTTCTTATTTTATATTTCAATTTTAGATGGGTTTTAATAGGAAATATGCTATTTTTACATCAAAAATCGGCCTAAAACCACTAAATTTACCTATAGAAACAAAAAAAATTTTTTTTTTAATTTTGGAGTTATCCTGTTTTTGCTTAGCACGGCAGTATAAACCTGTTAATATTTTGCAACATATAGTTTAAAATTTTTACTATACTCTTACAGAAATATTTTAAAGATACCCCAAATTCATTTATTCACCAAAGTTTTTTATTTTTTCAACAGTTATGATGTTTTTGTTAAAATTATGTGAATTTTTATCATTAGTATATCAATTTATGGATGCTTTTTATTTAAACTTATACATTTTTTGTTGAAACCCTAAAAATATTCATTTATTTTTATATTTACTTGGACCAATGTTTAATCTGTTCATCAATTTCTTCAACCTGTCTGCCATAAGTTGCTTCATCTTCATTATCAGCCATTATTTGTTCAGATAAAAAGTTTTCTTCTTTTATTTCTTTTTGGAATTTAAGAAATTCTTCATCAATAGAATTTACATAAGCTTCTTTTCGAGCCTTTAATACATACAAAACATTAAGATTTAATTACATTGTAGTGGACTATATTAGCATAAGCATAAAGAGAGGGGTTCATAGGGAACTTAGCACCCCTAAACAGATTATACTACACTTTTAAAATATTTTAATGAAATATAAAATAATTTCTGCAAGAATTATATTTAATATTTTGAATGTGTAATATCATCGTTATAGTATATGTATTTGATTTCTACAATTATAGTTAAAATACCACTGAGGTAAAAAAAATATACATATTTTATTCTTTTTACATAATTGTATATTTACAAATAGATTAATAGAAAATTGAGTACATTATATTGGACAGAGCAAAACTTATATTCCTTAAAATATTAGGCTAATTGTAATACTATTTTAACTAGAAAGGATGTATAAATTACTTACTTTAGCATCTATCATTGGATCATCAAAAAATCCTTTTGGAAGTTCTCCTTTGTCTATATTTAACTCATCATTATTTTCAGTATCTTCATCCATTTTATCTTCATTTTTTTCTATTGTTTTAGTTAGTTGGGATGATGAACTTTCAAAAAAATCACTAGGAATACTTGGAACTGATGAGGGAGAAGCATTTTTCAAAATACCTTAATAAAAATTTTATCAATAACAAAAATATGTTCAATTAAAAGATTTGTCTACCTTTTATTTTTTTAGGAGGATTAGATATTTCTTGTATGGGTTGTGTTCGTTTTAAACTTTCTGTTGTCACAGCTAGTCTATGTGACATTTTTGATGATTCTGGCTTCCGTTTCACAATATTTTCTTTATGATATTTCGATTTTATATGATCACTCCAAGAAGATTCATCTTCAATATTTAATTTGCATACGACACAAGATAATTGTCCATCACTATTATATGTATACTTTTCAGTTAAGAACTTATACAAAATACTGTAATATTTTTAATATTTATGAACAAAGTAAATTTAAAAAATTGTAAAATGAAGTAGATATATAATTAAAAATAATTACTTTTTAAATTAATATAATATAAATTAATTTATACTATTAATATAATTAGTATAATAATAATGCTATGAAAAATTCTACTAAGCATGTAAATATTTTAATACTTAAAAACAATTCAAAATAAAAAGGATATTTTGCTAATGGTGAATCAATTTTTTTTTTCACTCGTTGGGATTGCAACTTTTGTTTCAACATAAGGAGTCTCAACTCATTTTGAGTAACTTGTTTTTTTTTCGCTGCACTCATTTTAAAAATGTAACAAACAATGTTTTTATGAATTATTGCTAGTTAATTATTCTAAAACTAAAAAAAAACATTAATAAATTAAAAAAAAAAATTATAGTATGTGTTTACATTACATTTTGAATTCGCCTATAATTATTTTTATTACTTAAAATATTAGACTTAGATATGTTATATTTTTATACCATTTGGTCATAAAAGTGTTGGTTTATAATTACTCTTCACGAATAACTTTGAAAAAATAAATGCAATTTTTGTAGTGTTGTTAATTCAAAATAATAGATGATAACATTATCACGAACAAAATATCAAAATTATACCATACACATTGACCATAGCTGGGAATTTTCAACTCTATCATTAGTAGAAGATTGAGACAAAATCTATGATACCAGTAATAGATATTGCCATATCATCGAAAATATATGTTATTCATTTAGGAAAATTTCATTTATTGTGTAATTTTATTTTCAGAAAAATGGCAAGTATTTATTCTGACAGAAAACCAAGTGATCGGTCTAGGTAAAATATAAATACCATAATTATTATTTGCTTACTTACATAATTTGTATGTATTTTAGATGGATTTGTATTTACCCAGCTTATATAAATAACAAAAAAACTATAGCAGAAGGACGTATTGTACCAAAAAAGTATGCTGTAGAGAATCCAACATACCAAGAAATATTTGAAGTTGTTAAGGCAATGGGTTTTAATGCTGAAGTTGAAAACAAAAAGTATTCGCGAGAATGTAGTAATGAATGGGCTTTTAGGGGAAGAATACGAATACAGCTAAAAAATGATGATGGAACTCCTGTTAATGAAACTTATCCTACACGTAAGTTTAAGTTCCTTTTTATAAATCTTAAAAACGTGTATAATGAAACTCTTAATATGTAACCCTCTGTAATACGTCGATTTTTTATGATAAATATAATACATGTATCATATACAGGGTGATTGACTAACTATGCCTCACGAATTTTCTTTAAAAATATTAGTATTATCGTATATGTAATTATTTTATTTGTTATAAATCTTTGTTGAGCTACTTGACAAGAAAAATGAAGATTCAATCTTCATCCCTCAACCCTTAAATCAATATCAACTTTAGTTTTTCAAATAGCAACCCAGTTTTTTTTTTTATTAATCTTGTTAATAATAAAAAAAAAATGTTCTCAAAAAAAAAAAAAATCAATTTTAATAAATTCTAAGCGAGATATTACTATTTAAAGTTTAGGGGATTTAACAAATAAAACAGTAGTCGGGTAAATATAGTATTGTTATTATTTAGTGTACCGATAAGAAGTGGTAGCGCTTATCGATTTACGATCCATAACGTTCTCGTCTGTAATGATTTTTTCTTAATAAACCCTAAACTTTAGAGAGCCGTGGAGCGCTTAATATTTAATAAAATAAAATATTTTTTTTACAAAACATTTTTTTTTTATTAAACTAAATATAATGGTAAAAAAAAAAATAGTGTTGCCATTTGAAAATATGAAGTTGACACTATTTTTAAGCAAAAGGGATGGTGGTAAAAATTTTAATTTTCTCGTGAAACAGCTCATCAAAGATCCATAATGATTAAAAAAAAATTGTTTATAACTCTTATATTTTCAGAGATAATTTGTGAGGCATAGTTAGTCAATCACTCTGTATATGTATCTATAATACAAATATATCATTGAACTCCATAAAGATACGTTTAATAAAGTCCTATATAATACACTTTTCTTTTCTAGCTTTTTGAATCTTTTAACATTAAAATAGTTCTGTATAATATATCAAAAAAAATGACTAAATTATATACAGAATGATTTTTTTATTATTAAACGCTTAATTAATTAAAAAATAAAACTAATATTCTGAATTTTTTTTCCCCTCTAGAGTGCTTTTAAGAGTCACTCTAAAGGGAAAAATCTACTTTATTAGTGAATCTACTAGAATTAAAAAAAAAAGGAGAGAAAGACAAGAGTCTAAAATAACTTGCCCCTTGAACACCCCAGTATGACCCTTAAATGAGAAATCTATGTAGTAATTCAAACCTGGTTCACTCACTGTACTATGGAAATCTATCAATACTAATTATTAAATTTAAAATGTGAATATAGATATATTTTAGGCCAAAAATATTTTGGATTCTCAATTCTAATTAAATTATTACATTAGGAATCTTTTTACTATTAAACTAATGATTTATCATATATACAGCATGATTGACTTTTTATTTATCTAAAATATTTGTAATTTAAAAAAAAAAAAATGTTTGATTTTGTTTAGTAATATTTATTTTTTGATTTATATTTTATTAAACACATTTTATATCCATCCCACACCCCTTATAAAACTATTAACTTTATTTTTTGGAAATATACAAATTTTCCTAACTTTTCAAACTTAATTAGTTAATTATTTTTCTAATAAACTTTTTAACTTAATTAATTAAATTTTTTGTTGAAATAACTTAGCTTTTTTCAGTTAATTTGTGAAGATAACAGTTAAACTAAATTTAAATTTTATAAAGAAATGTATGTCTTTATACACTGCATATGTATGCAATTTTTAAAAAATCAAATTTTTCCCTATCCCAAATATTTAAATTATATAACAATAAATATAATTTTCTGAATTTTTGAAAAAAATGTATGTGATTTTTTTTAATAATTAGTTTTAAAGATAAAACAGTGCGTATAACACCAAAATGTGCTTAACCAAAAAAAGTAATTTTTGTTATCTTAAATATTTTCTTCCTATTCAGTTTTAAAAGTTGAAAATTGATTCTTAGTTTTCCCTTGCATCACTGACCAATAAAAAATGATTTTAAGAGATTTTAGCCAAAAAATTAATTTTAAATTAAATAAACTTTTATTAAACTAGTTAAGTTAAAAAAAATTTCAACTTATCTTTTAATTAAGGCAGTTAAATTTACAATTTTGTAACTTTTAACTGTTAATGTATTATCATTGTTAATACTTAACTTAACTGGAGTTTATTATTTCCATTAACTTGTCCATCTTTGGATTGAAGACAAGATGCAGATAATGTTATTTGTATCATTATGCATTATTCTACCACACTCCTTCTTTCACCCAGGTATAAAAATACAATAAACATAATTACAATTATAATTGAATCGGTGAGTGGAAGAACAGTACTAGTCCAAAAAGTGAAATTTGAGATAATCAAGTTTTTAAGTTAAAAAATTCTGTTTACAGTAACTTATAGACTTTAGAAGCCAGGAAATTTTGTAGCTGTTTTTACAAAGTTCCTAATAGCTTGTTATTACAATCATTGGTCATAAAAATTCTTTTTTTATTTTAAAACAATTTAAAAATATCATTGGACAAGTACTGTTTTTCTTCTCAATTATGTTTTTGTTTATAATTTCCCTGTTAACTTCTTTTAAATTAAAATAAAAATAATATAAAATAGTAAGAATAGTTAAAACATAATAGTAACACTTTATTGTTTAGCAACTTAAGCTTTCTTAACTTCATTTGGGCTTTTTCTTGCTTGCCCTTCGTGATACACGTAACAGTGACCTGTATTTTCTTTTAAATCATGAATTTCAAAGGTATTTACCCACAGTTAACGATAATAAAATACCTCTTGAACAGGTATATTAGGTAAAGGAAGGTTTTGCATAAAATCGAAACATATTGCTGCCACACTAGGATTTTCCTTACATAGATGACTCAACTAGTGTCAGAGTCAGTCATTTTTATTTCACAAAAACGTTTAAACAAAAAAACAAAACAAAATATGTACTCATAAAAAAATATTATTAATATTGCAAAAAATTAATAATGTAAGCACACATTCACACCACAACAATAACGATAACCATTGAGATAAATAAATGATAATAAAAACACTGTTTTTCCACTCATCAAAATAATAAATATACCTGTAGCAAGTGAAAAAAGGTTGATCTAGTAATATTTTTACACTCAATACTTAGATCTAAATTAGATGAGTTTATTCGTAAAAAAAACGAAATATCGAATTTTGGACTAGTACTGTTCTTCCACTCATCAAAATAATAAATATACCTGTGGCAAGTGAAAAAAGGTTGAACTAGTACTATTTTTACACTCAATACTTAGATCTAAATTAGATGAGTTTATTCGTAAAAAAAAAACGAAATATCGAATTTTGGACTAGTACTGTTCTTCCACTCACCGATTCAAATAATTTACAAAATATAAAAAAAAAAGTTGTATTGACAAATAATTTTCTTAATTGGGGCATTGAAATAAGTAAAATATGTATGTTGCCATTAAAAAAAAATAAAATTAATACTCTTTTAACGAATAAAAGATAGACCTAAAAAATGTTGTATAACATAGTAGGAAAATGATAGAAGTTTTTTTTTTTTAATTAAGTTTGAATTGATAGCTTATTAGAAAGAGTATCAAATAATGAAATCCATTCAATGAAAAATGTATTAATTTTTTTAATATTTAATTGTCTTATTTCATGAAAAATTTACAAAAATGTATAATTACCATTTTCCCCCTGTACTTTTCATATAATTCAAAAAATAAATATTACTTAATAAAAGCCAAAAAACAAAATTCTCAAAATGATAAATATTTGAGAAAAAATCTAATGAACAATTAGATAATTATATAAATATAAGTAAATATTAGTAAAATATATGTTGTATCATAATCAATAACTTATTTTAGGTGTTAGTTTAATGAAACATTGTGGCGTACAAATACCAAAACTTAAAAGTCGTGCCATGAAAGCTAGTGGACCTGAACAAAGTCAAACCAAAAATGAAGCTAGTGGAAATAAAAAGAAAAAGGGTAGAAAATAATGTTGGACAAATAAACCATCTTACTAAACAAGTTATTTTTAATTTTGTTTTATTTAGCATAATGATAAATTGATCTTCATTTTGCTATTTGTACATTTTATATTTAAATAAAAAATATGATATTATAAATTTTTCTTTTTTATTTCTTACAACGAATAAACTATTTCTTTGACATAATATTAGACATTAATTATGGGCTAGAATTAATTTAATTAAGCAAACAAAACAAAGTGTATTGAAATTTTAACTTCTAAAAATTAACACAATTATAGGTTTTATAATAATTCTAAATTACAAACTATCTAAGTATGGTGTGCTAACTATATTACCATAGCCACCCAATGATAATTTGCTATTGGCAACTTGACTAGCTGCCTTCTTGACATCTTCAATACTAACTGATTCAACTGCAGCTACAAGTTTCTCGATAGGATGCACTTTACCAGTTACAACTGCTTGATTAGTAATATTTTTTAATAATTCAGAGCTAGACTCTGAAGTTGACAACAATGAAAACAATAATTGTTTCTTAGCTCTAGAGACTTCAGCATCAGTTATTTTTGGTGACTTTAAACTTTGAACAGCAGCATTGAGAGCTTTACCAGAATCTTTACCATTGTATGCCAATAAAAATCCAAATAAACCAGAATCTGAATAATTATAATTTATAGCAGACACAGCAAAATTACCAGATACATTAGATTGTAAAATATTTTGTTCCAAATTTCCTTGACCTACACCCCATTTTACTGATGATCCTTTGCCCAACAAGTATTCAAGTACAGCAAATGCAGCACTTTGAGAGTTTCCATAACTTACACCTTCCCCTACAACTGCTAAGTATGAAGTACCTAGATCTTTTGCTTTTCTCACATCGCCACCATAGTATTTAGCTTTCACTGAGCAATCTTGTTCACTTTTAGGTAAATTCAAGTCTTCTGACACAAGTTGTAAGGTTTCTGCATCTACTCCAACACTTGAAATGATGGCTTTATCAGAAGTAAAATTTTTTTTTACATAAAATAGTAGGTGTTCAGACCCTAACTTTTTCAAATTATACTTGGGTAAGTATATAGTATTGCCAAGAGTGTTTCTGTAAGCAGCTTTATGCGCTAAATCTAAAGCTCGTAATTCTGGTGGTATTAGCAACAATTCATACTCAACACGTTCTTGATTGTCAGATAATTCCCATGGTTTAAATGTTTGCTGGGATACGGATTCAATAAAGTACTTAAGACCCGCAGTAAGATTTTCTTTATGGGCTTCAATGGTATAAGTAATTGTTTCTCTATCAGAGCTAACTGAATAATTAGCTCCCAAGTGACCCAAATTTCTTAGAATTGAAAATGTAGTTGATGCTGAGGTAGAAAGTCCAGCAGAACTACGAATTAAATTAGAAATACCTGTACTTTCAGGATCTTCGTAACGAGAACCAGCCAAAAAAGTTACAGATATCCGACCAATTTTGGTAGGAAAATCAGGAGCAGCTACAACTAACGTACTGTTAGGTAATTTCTTAGTTTGAATAACTGTACCTTTTATAGATTGAGCTAGTGTTTTTGTTGCATATCCGCGTTTAGTGATTTTACTAAGAACTGGAGTTTTTAAAGTTGATAAAGACATTATTTTTTTCTTAAATTGGGATATTTATGGAGAAAAGTTACACGAAATATTTAAAGTTTATTGAAAATTTGAAGTATTATATTGCTATCAAAATTATTTAGACGATTAGAAAAAATTAACCAATAACATAAAAAACTATCACGAATAAAACAGCTGTTTTACTAAAGTTATACAGTATGTAAATTAAATTCTTTATTTATGTAACTTTTTTTTCGAAAAATGTTTAGACTGTGCAAAAAGAAAAAATCGGTGACACAAAATTTATTTTGATTCGCCTCGACTTTTATTCGGAACCCTACACCTAAATTTTTTCAAAGTTACGTGTTTTATCACGTGAAGCAATTTTTTATCACTAAAAACCCTTGCCGCCTAGAAAATTATCAGATAAACAACGTGCCACTTGTTTAATCTAGAAATATGTACTTATAAATAATATACTTTTATTTTTTTTTTTTTTTGAAATATCCAAAGGAAATCTAGATGCTCTTTATAAAACCATTAAACATTTTTAAGTCTAACATTATCTAATTAATCACAATGTGTGGAATATTTTGTTCTGTCTCTAAAGGATCAAAGGCTTGTAGCGAAGTAATTAAAAATACACTAAAAACTATTATTTAAAAGAATAGTTAAAAAATTAAAATATTTGCATTTTTATATTTAATTTGCAACATAGTATAATAATTGTCGGCCAGCACTACAAAAAAGAGGACCTGACATTAATTCACTTCATGAAACTATTATTAATGGATACATAACACAATTCTCTGGTAATACATTATGGATTCAAGGAGAATTTCCAACTAAACAACCATTTATAGATGTTAATGGCAACATTCTTTTATGGAATGGTGACGTTTACAAATGGAAATTACCAGTAAGTTGTTGAGTTCATGAGAGAAATTTAAAATTATAGTCGTACACTTTTTTTTATATATCCTTTGCTTTATTTAGATGAATACCTGTATAAAAGATAGTGATACAAAAATTATATCTGATTTTTTGAGTAATGGAGGTAACTTTGAATTACTTATCTCTTCTATTCAAGGACCTTACTCAATTATATATTATGACAATAGTCAAAAAATATTATGGGCTGGCAGAGATCCAATAGGTCGAATCAGTTTATTGTGGAACTTAGAAAAAGAAAAAATTATTATCACTTCTGTTGGATGTAAAGATGTAGAAAATTTAGAAGAAGTTCCAGCTATTGGCTTGTTTAAATTTGATTTAAAATCAAATAATCTTAGTATATAAGTCTTAATATGATTATTGATTTTCAGTAATTATAAAAGAGCTATTTTATTTCAGAACCTCAACTTTTAAAATGGACCCATTCAACTTTAGAATGTGAATTTAGTATTACTAATGAATTGGAATACTTTAAACCTGTTAATTCTCAGAAAACTATTCTAGAAAATTCTATATTATATAAAACCACTCATTTGAATATGTCCGACTTGTTGTTAGACCCTGGGTATAATTTAAATGTCAGTAAATTAATCCATTTCTTATCACAATCAATTGAAAAAAGAAGCACTATAATTCCAAAAGCGTGTAAACTATGTAATTTTAAATGTGATCATGCCAAAGTAGCTATTTTATTTTCGGGTGGTATAGATTCAACAGTATTAGCTTTTTTGGCATCAAAATATGTTGAACCAGATGAACCTATCGATTTGTTAAATGTTTCATTTGAAAAACTATCAGATTTAAATAACTATAATGGTCCTGACAGACAAACATGTTATGATACATTAGAAGAATTAAAAATACTTTGTCCTAAACGGTGTTGGAATCTAGTTGAAGTATTATTTAATGTATTTTTTTTAATTTAAATTATTGCTTACAGACATTTTTTGGTTTAGATTAATGTTCCATTCAATGATCTGAAACAAAAACGTTTAGATGTAATCAGACATCTTATTTATCCACTGAAAACAGTATTAGATGACAGCCTTGGTTGTTCTCTATGGTTTGCATCACAAGGAATTGGAATCTGTAATGGAAAATCATATAAAACACCCGCCCGCGTATAAATTCATATTTTAAATTCTCTATATTCAAAAAAGTTTTCATCTTGAAAATTTTTATATAGTATTTTCCTTAAAAATACACTAACATTAGCCAAAAGAAATGCTTTTTTACTTTAATACTTCTCCTTTTTATACTCATTTATAATTGTCATATGCACATTTTATACCCCATTATTTAAATTTTTCTAAATATCATTATAATATTATTTCCAAGTTGTTTTTATCATTTTGATTGTCATAATAAATAATATTTCTGCAGGTACTATTATCTGGAATGGGAGCAGATGAACTTTTAGGAGGTTATACCAGATATCGAAGAATCCTTCAAAGACAAGGTTGGGAAAAATTAGGTGAAGAATTTAATAATGATTTTTTTAAATTACCGTCTCGTAATCTTGGTCGTGATAATCGTGTATGTTGTGACCATGGTAGACAATTACGATTACCATTTTTAGATGAAGACTTGGTTGAATTTGTCAGAGATCTAATGCCATGGGAAAGGTATTTGATAATAAAAGTGTATAAATTAAAATATTGAATAAATTAGCAAACCAAACAAAATTTTGAGAACATTTTCTTGCATAAATTATTTAATGTACATCAAAATATATTTTTTTAATATCAAAATTGTAAAAATGTTTCAAATTAGTACTGTACCAAATTTTATAGCTATTGATTTATTTAGACTGCTAAATACACACTAAAATCAGTAAAAGTTTTTCATGTCACATAATTGCTACATTTAACATTAATAATAGAAATGATCATAAATTCTTTGTATTACCTTTTTTTATACTTTGTATTTTGAACTTAATTTAAAGTATTAAATAAATAATTATTATTTTAGGTGTTGGCCTAAAGAACCTTACTCTAATAGTTTTGGAGAAAAATTATTATTAAGACTAGCAGCTTATAAAATTGGACTTATTAAAACAGCATTTTTAACTAAAAGAGCAATGCAATTTGGTTCAAGAATTGCAAATAAAAAAGAGAATGGTAATGATTTAAGTGATAGATTGTAAATTAAACTAGTAACTTCTCTTATTTCATGATATATATACATTAATCATAATTAAAATTATCAAAATTAATTAACAAGTACTTTAAATATTTTCAACCAATACACAATATTAATTATATTATTGAATTTGTAACATTTCCTTCACTGACCATTGACTTACTGCAGATGCTCTTTGAAAAACATGTTGATCAGACCAATTTAGTTCCTTTACTGTAAATACTTGAAGTTTATTCTTTCCTATTGCTTTACCAGTGCACCTAAATATTAATTGAATTAATAATAAAATATATATTAATTAACACAATTATAATAGTCAATATCTCAACAAGACATTTATATACCAACATTTTATTGTTTAAATAATTTTATAAATAAAATTTTTAGTGAAGTCACATATATTAATTAATAAATAAAGCACAAGATGCCTCTTAATTTTCTGAAGACCCAAAATATTATCGTGCTAACTCAAGATCTTATTAGGTTATTGTGTTGTAGCACAGTGGGCTAGAGACCATTGTACCTATGGCAAAATGCAGTCGTGCAGCTAGCTGAGTACTGAAAAATTAATTATTATTAACTTTTAAATCAGTTATTTTGAATTCATTTTTAATATAGTTTTCGATTAATGCAGATATTACAGGACCCATTGCAGGAATGTTTTTGTAGAGCCCTTAACAGTTTTTGTAGTAAAAATGACTTTATTTTAATTTAAGTTTGTGGAATTTTAGCGAATGACAATAGTTATATTGTATTTTCTCGAGCTTTGTTTTAATATCACTTGGAAGTCTTGGAACAAAAACTTATAATCAATCATATTCCTTCACATTTGTTTATATATTGTATAAACATATATATTGTATATATATGTTTATATATATTTATAATTATAGATTTATTATGTATTTTATATAATTATATTATACTATAAGAATCTTTAAGCTTAACAATTTTATAAAGACATACAAAATATTATAATCAATAAAAATAAATGTTTTTTTTTTTAATGTAAAAAATATTTTATTGATTTCAGGTTTTAATTTTTATTTAAATTGTTCTAACTTTGAAAAATTATAGTTTATTATTTAAAAATACATTTTTTCATTCCTTCCAACATTAAAAAATAATTCCATACCATAAATTATTTTCATGTTTAAACTTACAAAACTAAAGTTCCATCAGCAATACATGGTAATCTTCTATCTATTTCATAAAATATACAAATAATTGCACATTTGTGGCGCTTTCCACGCAAAGAAATCATCTTCTCACAATCAATTTTTCCTGTTCTAATAGAACCTATAACACCTATATTTAAAATATATAGAAATAATTTTTAATTTTAGTATAAAATATTAATATTATATTAAAATGCATAAAAATTCTTAAAATGACATAGTTGTAAAAAAATTTAATTTTAATTAATTGATAGAGTTTTTCAAATAGAATTTTTTTTATATTATATAAATTAATTGTTAACAATAAACTTGCTTTGTTTTATAAATTGGTTATTTTTTTTTTAATACTAAGTTTTCCAAAAAGTAAAGTTATAAAGGCTCTATAGGCTAAAGGATAATTTTTTTTATAAAGATTTTGTGACTATCATTTAGAGGAAAATTCATTAACAAAACAAGTGGTTTAGTAAACCTATTTTATGTAAAATGCCAATACGATTTCATTTACTATTAAAAAAGTCTAGTCATTTCCACCACCTCGAGCTAGAATGCAGTTATTTTTTCTTTCATTTATGTATACAATATCCATCAAATATATTTTTAACTCACTTAAATGATAGATTAGGTAAATTTGTTATCAAGTGGATAAAAATGTTTTTGGGCAGACATTCATGTCCAAAGTAGTGTACACTCCGAACATGTTGCATGATTTCATAAAATTTAATTGACAATCTCTTATAGTATTTTAGACATGAATATTTGTCTGGCTTTTGCAAAATATAATTAATATTAAATCAATTTTAAATCCTAAATATATTTAGGTAATATAAAGGAATAAGCTATCCTCATAGAACCTTCTTTACTTTTGCTACAAGTAAGAAATTAATTTCTCATTGGAACCTAATTTTAAAACATAACAATTTGGAATACTTTTTTTTGCTTTTCCCTTCCCACAAAATAATTTCCATCTGTGTCATTGAAAAGGAAACTATGATGTTAATGGAACTTAAACTTATCAAATAAAGAATCAACTATGTTGATATCATATAAGTCTTATATGATAAAAAATATAACAACTATGATGAAAGAATTAACTATTGTATTACATTAATAATAATATTTATAGCTATTAAAACAATATTTTAGCCTCACCATATACTTGGTACATAATTTCTGTTCTTGGAACAATTGACAGCATTTTACTCCATTGTAAAATTTGATCAACACTACCAATTATAAGTTTCATTCCTAAATTTTTATGTTTCTAAACCACAAAATTTTATTATTGAATATTTTACTACTATTACATTATGACTATTACTCAGAAAAAAAATCCATAATAAAAAGAGATACAGATAAGTAAATAAAAATTTAGACAATTAAAATACAATATATTAGACAAAGAATAATCAATAAATAATACCTAGAAATAATCATCGCATTTTTCTCTTTTAAAAATATTCTAAAAATTAGATACGTATATATAGCACCTACATAATTACATTAAAACTAAAAAATTAGTTATTTAATGAATTTGTTTGTATCAAAATTTAAAAATATTCTCCTATAAAGAAAATTTAGTTGTTAATTATGGAATATTAAACTAGAAACGTTGTAAAAAGAAAAATAATTTAGAAATTATTATTTAGATTTTTCTTGTTTTAAATTGCTGCAGACTGATCCATAGAATATACTAAATTAAAGTAATCTATTCTATCTCACAGAATATTTCAAGGAATTTTACCTGTGTAACATTTTTTTCCATTGAAAATTTATACTTTAAAAAAATTGACAGATAAAAAGAAAATCTTCATATAAATGAATTTTTAAATAAGCAACATAAAATTTGATTTCGCTCAATGAACATTTTCTTAATAAATTTTATATTGCTTCATTTATAAGTTAAAATATTCTCTGGCATATTTTTAAAAAAATTACTTTCTCTGGTGTTTCACAGCTGGTAGAAGATAATTCCCGCTTTTTAAATATGAAATTCACTGATGTATTTATGTAAAATAAAATTACGTATCAAAGTTTAAAACAAAAAACATTTATAAATATGTTATTTTAAATGTACTTATATTTAGTTTTACTTTACTATACCCCTTAACATATACAGGGATATGATAAAATTAGAAGTACAAAATAACTAGTTGAATATTTTTTAATTTATCAGTAGTTGATCTACGATAAAATTATTTAAGAAAACTACGCGAAATGATAATTTAGATGTTTTTGTACGTTTTGACCTTTTATTATAAATTAATACTCTGGGCGAACTTACGATTTATTCAAAAGAGATAAACGTTAGTAAAATTTTACTATTCCTCGATTTTTATTGTTAACAACAATCACGAATGTTCTCAAGTATATTGTTTGTTGAACTAGTATCTAAATAAACTCTTGCAGTTGTATATTATTGTTACTTAATTGGTTTGAGATACTATTTGAATAAAAATGGCTAAAATTATAATTCGAGTTCAAACTCATTATAATATGCAATAAATCGTATAAACGAAGGACACTATTCACAAAAAGGTATCTCTGTACGGAAAAAAAGCCAGTAGTAAATAAGTTATAAAAATTAAATCCATTGTAAAATATCCACGTCAAAAAGGTCATAACAAAAAAAAGTCAATTTAAATTTCATAAACTTATGTAAATGGAACTTTTAGAAAAATCAGAGGAGGTACTAAACTAAAAATAAAAATGTTACATTAGCGAATTCTAATAAAACTAATATTCAGACAGTAAGGTGGTATTGTGGCTTTTAAAAACTTAAAAGATATAATCACCCAACAAATTGAGAATTGATAAAAAAATAAGGTTTGAAATTGAAATTGATCAAACAAAAACGGCACAAATAGAAATCAAAAACCCGTTTCAAAAAAATAAAAAATTGTCCAATATGCCAAAATAAAGTCTATAAGCTAGACGTTAACTTCACATACGAGAATATGAAATTAGCTAATTTTTTACAAGCAATGCTTATTATTCATTATTTTATTTGTGTTTATAACAACTAATTTGTATAATTACATATCGGCTGTTGTTGTCCTTTTTCTCCCAGGATTCTCACATAGCAATACTGAACTTTTTTAAGTAAATTAATATGAGTTTACGATTACAAAAATTATTTCACTCATTTTGAATTAAAGCTCTAATCTGATATAGGTTAACAGTTGTTAGACGTTTCGGGAAATTTAAAAAAATTTCGTTAAAAAAATTGGTGATCGTCACACTTAAACTCTTTCTATACTTAAGTTTTTCATTCGAATTTCATAAAAATAAAACCAAAAGTAAGCATATTGTCTCTTTTATGTGTTATTAAAGTTTTATTAGGGTCAGTATTTTTTGAAGTTATAGCAGTTTAAAATTTAGAATAAAAATTCATCTCTATTCCATCCGCCATCCCTATCTCCGATGACAAACTAACCACCCGCCCTGGAGTATCAATGGTTAAGAAACCTCCTCCTTTGGGAGAGGCCGCTAAAGCCCTTAATGGACTTATTAATCATTAAAAAATATATAATAATATTAATGTTTGTATTCTTCTTAAATGTCTTCAAAGAAAAAAAATTTTTGTGTTTAAATCGGTGATGTTGTATGATACTTCATTGAACTATCTACGTACAGTTTATCCAATGTGTCATCCAAAAATCCATGTTGTCCTGTTTCTAATATCCGGTAAGTATTTATGCCAAACAATGTGGGTCCATGAAGTCCGATCCCTCCCAATAGAAGAGCATCATGAAATTTTAATCTTTTTGAACTACTTTTCATGACATAACATTTCAACTAAATAATATTTAGTTGAAATTTTATATAGCTGCTAATAGATTTTTTTGAAATTGTGTCTTTCATAATCTATACATAGCCATTGTATTTTGTTTGGTCATCACGCTGTATCAAAAATTACTTAGTGAAGTGCTTCATTATCGACAGCGCAGGTCCTCCAAGATGTCTGTGGTTGACCGAGCCAACCGACATTGCCCTTGTCCGCAACCATTTATTCATCCGAGCCAATAAATTGGCGACTGCTTAATTCGCGGCTATGTTGCAGATCTACAGAACGTTCCCCTTTCGCAGCCTTGGGGACGCATCCGATGATTGGGCAGCCACGGGAAAAACTCAACAGTAAACTTATCTTAAAAAGCAAAACAATATATTTTATTATCATGTTGTTGAGTAATAACTCTGAAAATGAACTTTTAAATACCTGAATTTGTAGATTCATGATACCATTCTTTTTTAATTATAATTAAATCCTTTTCATGATCTTTTTGTATTACTAACATATAGGTAATATGATATTACATCGTAAATGGAATTTGTGAACTACATTAGTACTTATTTAATTATCTGCTTTGTTAAAAATTACTTCAAATTGTCACAATTCAGTAATATAAATTTTAGTTAATAATACAGTTGTATTCATTCACTAGTCATATTACCCAATCTAAATTTAATGCTAATCCAATCTTAATTTTATTCACTTAATTAAAAATATTTTCCCAAAAACTATAAACCACTTACATTTAATGATTTGTTAAAAGAAGTTAATTATTGACATACTATTAAAATTTAAAATTATTTTTCAGTTACTTGTTAATAATTTAAAGTTAATTTATATAATAGGCCCAAACGTTATCATTTAAGTTTTTAATATTTAATTATTCTCAAATCAATAAACTTTTTAACAAGAACTATCAGCAGAGATATGTATAGGGAAAAGAATTGGGGTGAAAGTGACCAAGGCGTTTCTCGCACATGACTAAAAAAAATTGTTATTTTAAACAATACTTATATTTTTAACGTATTTTTTCTTTTTTTACCGATGGTGTAAAATTTCTAAATACATCTTTGCCAGTTAGTCATAAACATGTTTTTATTCAATTTTTGATAGTGAATATACTGCATGAGAGAATGCCACTCATTGGTCAAATAGTAAGATAGAAATCTGCCATCTTATCCACTATTTAATCAGTTGTAGTGATGGGGAAAAAGTAACAGTATATATAGTAATAGTGATTTATAACAGTTACTGCTCGAAAAGCAATAACAATCTGTTACTTGGAAGAAATAGTAACAGTTAATGTTGTTTTGTGTTTTACACAAGGTGGATTAATTTAATTGTAAATTCTCCAATTTTCCATTGAGCTCTATGCTTATTATAACGGTAAGTTATTTCCCAATGAAATGCTCTAGGTAACTAATATCAAACGTCTTGAGTAGAATATAGATGGACCAGTATAACAGCACAACGTATTTGATTTATTGCTCGGTAATGACTAAATATATATATAGTTACAACAAAACACTGCAGTATGGTTGGGTTTATACATTTTAAAGGTGATAAACCGAACAAGACTGCCGGACGATAGTGCAATCGCAATGAACTATTTTAACTTCAGTACTCTTATTTATTATTTTATTATTTCCATGTGTATATCTTTAGTACTCATGTGGCATGATTAATTTTTACTTTTTTATTTATTTACTTTGTGAAAAATAAATACAAATTTTACAATTTGCACAGCTATATTTAATACATATGTATCGATTAAGAATAAGACACTCATTTTCTTGGAATCTATTGAGAATATTTAATTTTTGTTAAAGAAATAATAGTATTATTGTAATGTTTTTTTAATTAAATATTTTTTCTTTTATGAAAATATAAAATTTTCAATAGTTTCCTACCCACTAGGCCAATCTGACCCCAAAAGTTGAAATAATTTATAAAAATATAAAAAAAAAATTATATTAAAGGGTTGAACAGCATCTCTGTTTCTTTTAAATTTTTTATTGTGTAGGGTAAGACGGAGTAAGTTGATGAATTCAGTATTTATCAAAATCAATCAGTTATAGTAGAACACCCTAGCTAACAAAATTGTCTTACGATACACTGGTTCCTAGACTGTATGATGACAATATTAAATATTAAATCCAACCTACATATTTTATAGGCTTTGCTTTTACTATTGAAATTTGCCTCTATAAATTTATTGTCCCTCAAAGCAACGTTTCTGTATAAAGGATGGATTTAATAGAGGGTTTTAAGAAAATGTTGTCACGAGGCACACATTTTCGTGACCCTCGGAAGTCAATGGAAAAAAATATCAACCTTTTAAACGATTTAATGAACTTCACAAATCATAGATGCAATTAAAGAGGCTAAGCCACCCCTTCACAAATTAGATTAGACATTATGTTAATAATAACATAAACATTTTTTTAGAACTAATAAAGTTAAAAATATTGAGATGGGGGTTATGTTTTTACTATTACTTTCTCCCCATATATTATTTACGACTTTGTGCAAGCACTTTAAATTTACAGAGGGCTACTTAAAATTGTTTATGCATTCCAATCTTCTGATTACAGCTTACTTATTACTTACAGCTTAAAAAAAAATAACTTTTGAAGTTGTGAACTTAATAAGTATATAAAACTGTTAACATTATATTTTTAAATGTCAAAATATATTTTTAACTTGTTTATTATATAGAAAAAAATTACTGGTTGAAAAAACTTTTGTACCAAAAATTAGGAAATTATTAGTATTTTTATAGTATTGGGAGTAAAAGTAAGCAACTGAAAAAGGGAAATGATAGATTTCGATTATTAGTATACTACAAAAGAGCAGTTGTAAAGGTATAAACGTTTAAATAGCTCATAAAATAGATAACTTAAGTAAATGACTGATCAATAACAATTTTCAGACCAGTACTTCACAACTTATTAACATATTTATACTTAGGAGAATAGAAGTATGCTACGGAAAATGTGTAATGATAAAATCCAATTACTAATATACTACAAAAGAGCACTTATAGAGTGCTAAATTGAAAAACGAATACTAAATTGGCGACAAATTAATTGATTATATTTTATTTGATTTAAAAAACAATGAATATTGAGGTCAGTCGAGCCAAGTAGTATGAGTGACAAATTCAAATAATCCGATGAACAAAATTAAAGTATCATAAATGTATAGTACAATGAATATATTGCATGAGAGAATTTAACTCGGCGGCCAAACAATAATACAGAAAAAATCCTTAGTTACTCAATAGTCACTCAGTTGCATTCTTTCGTGTCCCGCGGTGTACAAATAAGTTTATAAGCAAACTGGCAACGTTGTTTACATAAATCTGTATAAATAAAAGGGACAGTGTTGAACTCGTTCTTATAGCTTACTAATACCATGTTGCCAGTTTATGTACAATATATTGTATATATATATTTCATGAGAGAACGTGACTGGGCGACCAAATGTTAAGATAGAAAAAAAGGATCATAAACTCAATTGTCCCTCAGATACGTTCTTTCGTGTCCCGCGGTGTAGAAGATATTTCTATAATAGTTCTTAAACAAATTGGCAACGTTGATTCCATAAGTCTGTATAATAAAAAGGGACAAAGCGTTTAAATCGTTCTTAATACATATGAATATCGCACGTTGCCAGTTTGCTTATTAACTTATATTAGCTTCGATGCGAAGCTGAGAAGATATTGGTTTTACTAAGATGTGTTTATTTTTTTTTTTTGTCTGTTACCACTTTTTCTCAGCTCTCACCGAACCAATTTCTTTCAATGATACGTCAAAAGATCACAAATTGTATCTAGTCGAAGACATTACCCTCAAAAATTGAAAAAAAATGCCCTCGTTCCCCTTAAATGGGGGAAACCTCCAAAAAAATTACAAATTTAAAAATCGCTAATTTTCGAAATTTTTTCAATTTTTTTTACTAAAAACTGCCGTAACTTTTTTAAAAATAAACATATCAATATAATTCTTTTTTTTATAGATGCATGATGTCATTACCTATCATTTAGTATATTTTTTTTATAAATCTGACTTTTTACCTGCCCACAGGGGGGGATTTAAAATGACAACTTTTTTACAAAAAATTAATTTTTTCAACTTAACTTTTGACAATGTTCCGGAAGGTCTGACACTTTTATATATATCTTAAATTAAAGCTAATGTAATATACTTTATCATGAAAAAAAAAAATTTCGGACTTTATTTTATCTTCATGGTGAAAATGG